ACTTTCTACTCGCGTTTTACTCATGGGGAACACACAATGATAGTACTTGAGTGTTGTTCCCTCATAAACATTTCTTCTTTTGTTCTTAACTACTTCGCCGACGACGCGAACCTGATTCAAAACTCACTAAGTCCTTTTTCGCTCTTTGCAAAGGTTCGCGGCGAACCAATCTTACTTCGAATTAACTACTTATTTTCACTCAAATTTGATACAAGATAATTCTTTTATATATACACAAAATTCTGTACTTCAAAAAACCTTACTCATTAAATATCCTCTTCGTCTTTTTCTTTGCCTTTGCTCCCCTCATTCGCCTCGTTTTCCCTCACCTCCAGCATCCTCGCGATCCTCGCGAGCTCGTTCTCGATCCTCTCTTGCCTCTCTTCCATTCGGTCCATAACCCTCATGGTCATCTCCTGCTGCTCTCCAATTCGCCGAGTCTTGATCAAAAGGCGGTCCTCCAGCGATTGCGCTCCCCTTGGATAGCGTTCTCGCAAACCCATTTGCGGTACCTTCGACACATCTCTCTGATCTTCATCCTCCTCATCGTCCTCCTCGACTTCCTTAACTAGTTTCCCTCTTCTCTTGCCATTCTTCTCGCCCTTCGCCAATCTCGCATTCTGTGCTGCCAATGTCTCGTCGTCCGCGCACTTGATCCTTTGCGTTGCGCATGAGGTACACCTGTTTCGCGCATTCTGCACGATACACGGTTGCCCTACGCGAGCTCCAATCTTGCAGTTGGCACATCGAGGAATCCTCGGTGCACCAATTACCGGTCCATCGGCAGGAGGAGATGAAGGGGGAAGTGGTGGAACCATAACAGAGACGCGATTGTCGGGATAGGATGGGGAGAGATCCAGGTACTCCTCGGAAGGTTCGACCCAATGGTCGGAAGGGAAATCCAAACGCAACGCCAAAGGCACCGGAGGTTCCTCAACTGGCGGTAACTATAAACGGGTTAGCAACATTCGTTAAGAAAACATGTCACTACGCACCTTGTTTCGACGTTCTTCGTCGTTCTCCTCATCCCTCTGTTCCTTTTCTTCTTCCTTCCTCACTATTGCGTGACGCGTACGCAGCTTTTGACGCAGATGTGCCAATCACTCCTTCTTCCTGTCCTCCATTCTCTTCCTCGGCCTCCTCCTCTCGTTATCGCCATCGTCATCGAGACGACACTTGCTGCCGCTGGCTTTAGCGTTGTTGTTCATGATAGTAGGGGATGGATAGAGTGAACGAAGAAGATACGAAACGAACTTCAACGTTGGCAAAATAAGGACATCCAAACATCACGTGATTTGCTTATCTTATCACGGCAGGATCGGCAGATCACAAGTTTCGGAAAATTTAGGATCACGGAAAATTCAGAATTTCGACTCGAAGATTTTTTCATGAAGCTCTTGAGGGCAAGAGCTTAAGAGGGGGATACTGTTATATTCATGCGATATTGGTTCCGCAATATACACGTTGGTCATTGCTATCACTTCGCTAAGTACTCACTTTGCGCTCTTACACTTCGCTCTCTTCGCTGACTTTGCGTCGCACTACTGATATGTTCGCTTGTTCATTTGTTCACTTGCTCATTATGTTTCTATCCTTTGTTTCGTTTCTCTTATTGTCTTTTACATCTCCTTTTATTCTATTGTCTTTTTCATTCCTATTGTCATTTCTTATCTACACATCTGACATACGAGATAGCGAATTAGTATAAATAGGTAGCATCAAGTATGGTAGACTTCAGTTTTGAAATCGACTTAGATTGACTCCGAACGCTTCCTTCTAAAGTCAACTACTATCCTTTTATTTGCTTCGCTAACGAGCTTCGTTCGTTACTTCGTCGGACTGCGCAGTGTATAGAGGTGTTGCTAATAGCTTCGCCGAAGTCCAATCTCGCTCGGAGGTTGTCAAGTCGCTTCGGGATTCGTCTGATCAATATTTCACCCGAAGGTCTTGCACGATTTTAACAACAGCCATGATCAGAAAATTGATGGGATGCTCCACCTATATATAGGGAGGGACCCTTGATTTGTTGTTCATATTACTTTCTTCCCTTCCCCCCACCATCTACTCTTACTGCAAATACTGTAACACTTTTATACTTGCTCTTGAGGTCTGAAAACTTGTTTTCATATTGCTGGATCCTTATGTATACATGTTCTTCTTAGCTTGTCTCCTCAACAGATTGGAAAAAATGTTTGTAGTTTTTTTTTTTTTTTTTTTTTTTTTTTTGGTGATATTAGGGTTAGGGTTAAGTTTGCTTTATTTCTTGAACAGGCTCCTCCCAGTAATCTACTTGAGCTGGTAAGTCTTTGTACAGAAGACTTTGTACAGGGGACTTACTAACTCAAGTTGATTGCTTGGTAGAGCCTGTTCAAAAGTCTATGTTTATTGCTTTTTGGTTATCAATGTAAGTTTAATCCTCAAATCCACATGTCCTTTGTCAAGGCTGCCATTGTAAGCTGCTTCACTATGCAGAAAAAACTGTTACTGATTTTGTACACTTATAATAGCAGTCCAATACTGCAGAATCCAGATCTGGAAGAAGTTCTATTATCAAACAATTCAGATATTCACTTACTACTGGACTGTTACGACCATATGACCGGCCAATGTTATGCGTTGCGGGCTCATGACTGACAAATCAAGGTATGTGTTATGTGTATGTCCGATGGGCCACAGGCCTTACTAAGTTTGCAATTTTTTTTTCAACTAAAAGAATGACATGGAAGACATCCAGTGGGCAACTGCTACAATGGCACAGGAACTTACTTTTTTTTGTTGAATCTTGTTAGTAGTTACTATACAAAAGTTTCTATTTTGTTACATTCTGTGACATGACCAGACCTCAATGTTATGCGTTATGATTTCTAAAATGACCAAAGGGTCACCGTTACGTGTTACACGGTCGTACGGTCGTAATAGTACAGTATGTAGAATTTGTGGAAGTACTGAAGCTGAAGTATCTGCGAGGTCCCTAGTACAGCACTATCCTTCCATACATATCACTATCTTTTCCTCTTTTATGCAGATAACTATGTACTTTAGGTAGCATCATTGCATGCAATGGCAACATTGTACGGGTGGAACATGAAAAATTTGATTTCTATAATAGGTAATTATTGCCTGCCAGAAGCTGGATTCTAGTTGCCGAATCTGAGGAAAGTTGTTCACCGGGCCGGTGATATCGAGTACACATAACTGTCCTTCGTGCCACCATACCTCCATCCCCTGCCTGCAAGATCTCCATCTCATAACAGTACTTATATACATCCCAATGGACATCTCCACAAGCTCCGGACTCTCTGTCCTTGAACCGTCCGACACGTATGAGGACCCTGGGCTTCAACCGCTTTCTTACGATGAAACTGTTCCGTACGAGGAACAGTTCCCTACAACGACTGCGGCGGAGTTGGCTAGTAGAATAGGAAACACCAAAGTCTATCTCCTTTCAGAGTCTTCTGCAGCATTAGCAGCGAAATCTAGAGGTGGAAAGGTGAGCTTTTGAATTCGTAGAGGGAAAAAAAATGGATGATTGACTTTTTAGTTTCCTTCTTCTTCTTCCTTGTTTGTGTTTTTGTGCTGGATCATCAAATCTGTCATGGACTCTTCATTCTTGTTCGATATCCATATTCTATCTTTCCAACCGGGATTATGAACGCCTCCTCGCTATGTATTACGATCTCATGTTTGTCATTCGAAAAAGCGGAAACGAGGAGGAGAAACTGAGGGACTGACATCGACAGTCCAAGCTGAAGACGACGAAGACTTTGAAATGGACACCGGTAAATCTTGAATTACATGACCATAGCCAATATTAAATATTCCCATCCAGACCCCAACCTCCGACCAAACGCTCTTCTCCTTCAAGGAACACCCATTTCCCATCTCCCCACTGCGCGTCTCTTCGCTTATGCAACCCATTTCATACCTTCCTCCTCCTCTTCCTCTCACCCCTAGCCCTCGAATGGATCTCCGACACCACATGTATCCTCGTCTTTTCGTCGAGATCTGCCGCGCAGTCAGCGTTCCGCGCGCTGACCAAATCCCGTGGCGAGGAACCTGACAACGAAGGTTTCATCACATCGAAACCTATACCAATGGCCCTATGGCCTCCGGAGGATAGGATAAATCGCAGTTTGGGTTTATCAGACAATGCCCAGGACGGTCGTCAGTCTCCGATGAAGGGACTGATGAAGGTCCGTTGGGCGAGGATAGATGACGTGAAGAAACGGGGAGCAATGAATGATTCAGAGTTTTATAAGAAACATGGAAAGATGGCTGGGAAGGAAATGTTAAACGGTCGGGATCTTCCTGTTCCTCAGAATAAGAGACGTCGGGTCGGAAGGGACAGTGATGGTCCTAGTGTTGGTGAAGAATCGGAGGATCGTAAACGAGAACAACTAGATCAAGACCTAGACGCGTTTCTAGCGGAGGGAGAGGCAGAGGATGCTTTTGTGCTTAATGACCGTGACCGTGATTCCATCAGAGCACAATCTCCATCACCTCCCTCTCCGCCATCTAAAATGCGTTCGGACTATATCGCGAGCGACGGACGGACGGTGGTTGGGACTCCTGATACTGATTCACCCAAGCTTGATCTTGCCTCACGCCTCAGCGCGCCTTTGCATCGACGGGGTCGGAATCAGAATCAGATACAGAGAGGACGAGATGGCGGACAGAATTCGGGTGATCGGTTGTGGTCGGACGAGAAGGTAGATTTGTCGGAAAGGATAAAGTTTGAACGGACGACGAGGAATGGAAGAAATGATAGACGAAGGGGAAGACGGGAGGGTAATAAGGAGAGGGAGAACCGACCTAGGAAGAGTCAACAAGAGTTGGATGATGAGTTAGATGCGTTTCTAAGAGAAGAGTGAAAGAGGGTTGTTATCAAGTACTCAGTACACGATCCTGGATTGTTTTTTCATATGTTTTGTTCGTTTTCTTTGATATCCAATTAGTCCAAAATTCAAGATGAGGCTAGCGATATCTTCCCATCGAATATTGGCCGCCTGGCGAAATGGCATCGCGTCTGACTACGATGATGATTGTTATTCATAATCAGGAGATTGCAGGTTCGACCCCTGCGGTGGTCACTTTTGCTATCTGGAGAAGTCTTTTTTTTTTCTTGAGCACGTACAGTATGAAATGTGCGCGCGTTTGTGGTTAGCTGTATCATACAGTATTGCAAAAAACACTTTTGGAAGCGGTGGACAGTGGCTATATTAGGCAGCAAAGTCGTGACTCGTTGTGCCACAGTGTTGGGAAACTCAGGGAATCCGAGGCAAAGTTAAGGCTGGTACCCTTTGGGCCTTCGCTGCTGATCGCTTGATTTTTTGAGGATGAAGTCTGGTGGAGTCGACTACCTGTGACAAGTGCGTAAACGCTCAAAGTCAAACGGAAAGCCTGCGAAAAAAAAGCGAAATGAAAATCGAATATTAATATTGAGCGCTTGAATATTGAATAAGCGCGCGCAAACCTTTTACGATGTCCAACGACGAAGAAGTTGCGGTGAGCAAGAACAAGAGCCACAGAAAGGATAAACGCAAGTCTACACGACTTCTCTTTCGAAAATTTCTCTAACTCTTGAAGCAGCATGGGATACCGATGATATCGATCAGTGAGCCCTTGTTTTGTTTGTGGAAGGGATAGTGAAACTCATTTCCATCTCCGTTAGTGTACGCTTGGGTGTTCAGAGCAACCATTCAGTGCTGACTCAATCATAGTGGAAAATCGATCCGTTCCTACCAGCGGATAACAAAGCCGGTACGTTTGCAGAAGAATCATCTTTTGCGACGCTCTTCCCGAAATATCGTGAAAAGTATCTGCGCGAAGTTTGGAGTGCGGTGACTCGGGCTTTGGAAACTCAGGTATGTGCTCAAACTATCGTTACATCTGCTTTCCGTGTTGAGTTTGTGTCTAGGGCATAGCATGTACTCTCGACCTTGTTCATGGATCCATGTCAGTTCGCACAACTCGAAAGACCTATGACCCCTACATAATTCTCAAGGCACGGGATCTTATCAAGCTCCTCGCCCGCGGCGTCGCTGTGACACAGGCGGTGAAGATTCTGAATGACGATATATCGTCTGATATCATAAAAATAGGAAATCTGGTAAGGAATAAGGAGCGGTTTGTGAAAAGACGGCAGAGGATTATTGGTCCGGATGGTAGTACATTGAAGGTGTGTGTACTACTCTCTACTGCTGGTTCCTTCGTACTCAAAATGTTCAGGCTATCGAGTTGTTGACACAATGTTATGTGCTTGTGCAAGGAAGCACGGTTAGTGTCATGGGCCCACACAAATCACTCAAGGAAGTAAGACGGATAGTCCTTGATTGCATGAAGAATATACACCCAATATATCGTATCAAAGTAAAAATTTCACCTTATTCGTTAAAGTGTCGTCTGACCTCGAATGAAAAAAAAAATCTGTCCAGGAACTCATGATACGCCGCGAACTAGCAAAAGATCCCAAGCTTGCTACAGAATCATGGGACCGTTTCTTACCCAAGTTCCGTAAAAATCACCTCAAAACATCCGAAAAGACTGCGAAAAAGAATGAGAGGCTCGAAACGAAGAACGCTTCACGGAAAGCTGCTGGGTTACCGGAAGAATCTTTGGCTGATGTAGCGGCGAAGAAGAAAGTGTATACGCCATTCCCTCCTACGCAGCTTCCAAGAAAGGTCGATCTCCAGCTCGAGTCTGGAGAGTATTTTCTTAAGAAACACGAAAAAGATGCAAGAGAGAGCGCTCAAAGGAAACAAAAGGTAGACTCGAATGGTTGGTCATATATTGTCATTTATATATTGATGAATGGTTTTATTTAGCAAGCCGAAACTACAGAGAAACGTCGTGCAGGGCGTGCGGAAGCCTTTGTGGCACCAGAAGAAGATGCCGCGCCGACTGTGGAAGAAAAAAGAAAGCGAAAGCGGAATGATATGGAGTTGGAGACGGCGCAGAAAGAAGAACAAGTAAAGGGTACGAAGAAATCGAAGAAAAAGACAAAGTCGAAACATGAGGTCGAGGAAGAGGAGGTTTCATGATAGTAGTTGGTTGAATTTAAGCTTGTAGCACGTTTTGTCGGAGGTCGCTCTGAGTATTTGCGAGCTGTTCGATGTTCAACGGTTACCCTGAGGAGGGCCGCGATATGAGTCTTGTTTCGTAGTCAGTTGGTTGGGGCGGTACAGCAATCGGGACAACAATTGAGGACAACCGGCTGGCAATTCAGAATTTAATTGTTATCTGCAAAAGGAAAGGATTTACAGTAAGATGCATGCCTGCCAGTGCCAACTGGCAGTCCGAGTTTCTTGTCCTTTATCCTTCATCTTCCTTGCTTCCCTTTTTTCTTCGTATGCCTTCGAACTCGAATAACTCATGGACACCGTCTGCTGGTCGGCATCAACTGAATATTGGCTCTTCACTTGGGCGAGCGCTAAGAGCACGGAAGAACAACGCTTCTGGTCAACAGCCTGCAAAACGAAATATCTTACCTGAACGCGAGTTCTACTCTGTTAGATGTAAGCCGCCTTTATACTATGAAATGCGCTATTTCTCTAATACATTGCTCTCATAGACGGCTTTAAGCCTTCATTAATTGACTCCACGAAACCCGGCTCCCTAGACGTCAGGCGCACTAACGATGATTCAAATGCCTCGGTAACAGTAGAACATGCCAGTACACAAGTGCGACTCCCCTTCAATATACTGGTGAAACTAGAGTAACACGAATATTTGCAGCCCGGAGAAATATATTCATTCCCTGGGAAAGCAGTTGCCTCAAAGGAATGGACCTGTATCCTCATTTACGATGAAGAAACCGGAGTGCGTCTCTCTCTCACATTAAGCTCCTCCATCGTACTGATTATACTCAACAGGGATACACACTCGAGAAACTCGAATCCTCCATTGCACTCGGTCCTCCAGAAAAACGGGCTGGATCTACTCGACCTTCGCGTACGTCCGATATTTCCGCACAATCCGCATTGCTTCCGCTGACCTATCGTCTATTTTCATCGCAATAACAGGCTCCCCGTCTGCACAAATAAATTCTCCTCCAATCCCTACTCCATCGAGCAGTACTCATCAGGCTCGTGCTTCCACTGTAGATACTCCTCCGCACACTTCGGTCTCTAATCAATCAATACCCATGGAAGTGGATCATGTCGAAGAAGTGATTCCTCCGAACGTTCAAGCCCAAGTTACTCCTACTCCTCCCATTCAACGCCCGAAAAAGCCTCTGCCTCAGAGATCTCGTGCAGAGGAAGAGACACTACATTCTACCTCGACATCCATTCCGCCACCGACTCAAGCATTAACATCTACCTCTGATTTCATAGACTCAAAAAGCAAAAAGACTGCCAAAAGAGCAACGCCTACCTTCTCAGATGCAGAAGAAGAGACGTTGGAATTTGGGCGCCTCACAAAACGAAACCGCGTTTCGCCTATACCTCAAGAGCCCAAACGTGGGCCGTCTCCCTCTCGTCTGGAATTGCCTGGGATGGCGAACGCAGTCGTGCATCCACCACCTATACCCGTCCCACCCAAGCCCAAGTTTTCGTCAGCATCTCGATCTCAAGCAACCGCTCCACTACCTCTTTCTCTGCCACTCGCCGCAGGCTCTGACTCTGACTCTGAGGACGAAGAATGGGATGAAGTCGCCGCTCCTAGCTCTATTACCGCTGGGCCTGTGGCCGCGGAGGATGAAGGAGGGGAGGAAATTGATATCAATGAATTCAACACATTAATGAACGCACATTTAGAAGTGGAGGAAGATGAACAGGAGCAGGACCAAGACTCTGTGTTTCCTGTGGATGATTTCCTGGCTGCGGCGATTGCACCTGAGGAGTCACCTGTACTCCAAAGAGGTCCGCCAATATCGCTCAAGCAGTTTGCTGGAGGAGACAGTGCGGATGAGGATGAGTATACGTCGAGTGAAGAAAGTGATGAAGATTAGGAGCTGTTCGACAAAGACTAAAATCTTTTACCTTTTACATTGGCGAGATGTCATTCGCCAGTTGGATAAACCTGGATTTTTAAGGATCATATCTGTACATACATCACTTTGCATCTGGATGTAACTTATTGTTTACAATGGCTACTCTTTTTACCTTGTCATAATATTCCTGTTTAAGCATCAGCGAAGCAGAATTTGCGGATTCCTCTGGATTGTATATGTGCCGATCCACGTAGTACACGATTTACATCTACGAATACGACATACATATTTAATCCAAGGTATTCGGTATTCAAACCACCTCCCTTCAAGGTGCAAACAATAGAACAATCTGCGCGACAAGAACAAAAAAAAAGCGGTATACAGGGTGCTTGTATATCTATCACCCCTCTCTTCCAAAGAAATGAAAAGGCAGAGTCCATAGTGTCCATCAATATATACAGGTCTGGGTCCTATTCCTATGATGTTGCACCCGTTAATCCCTTGGGCCAAATGCTCAATTTGAAGGAATGTTACTCCATCCAACAACATTGATGACGCCTCCAGGAGCGAGACCAGTGAAATCATCACGGAAAGGAGCAGATGGGTCAGAGCTGTCGTTGACTGAGTTTGAAGTAGAAGCAGCAGCTGACGCAGAGTCTGTTGCAGAGGCAGCAGAGGCGTCGGTAGCAGCAGCTCCAGAGGCGGAAGAAGTCCCTTGTGCACTGATGATGGAAGCAGCAACATCAGGACTGATGGTTTGTGTAGAGCTGCTAGCTGCAGCTGTGCCAGTGCCACTCGAACGAACCATTTGCCCGAGAGTTTCGGGTTGAGCGTCAATAAAGGCAACGGTGGGTCCAGCGAGAATGTTATTAGCGCTAGCGCGATTGACGACGTTGCTCTGCAGGGGGTTGTCATCAGACGTGACGTAGATCGCAACGGGACCGTTGACAGTGTTGGGAACAACGCATTGGTTGTAAGGTAGAGAGATTGAGAAGGGGTTTCCGCCGATCATCATTTGACAGAACAAGGTCTTTTGACACAGAGAAGTTAGCACCACCATTTTGTTTATACAGGAAGGAATGATCTGTTCGACTTACGCTCGTGTCAACAGAGGAATTGATGGCTGTGGATGAAAAGGTCAAGGAGGTGCCCTGGCTG